ATACCAACCGTTCGAGATTCTTAAATCTAAAGAAAGGTTATTTTTGTAACAGACTGTACACACAACACATGTGATCTTATATACAAATGTGTTATTATATCGCGTAAAATCTATCCGGCAACGTCGCAAATATATTGTGAAACGTCAACTGTATTTCTAAAGTGAAATAAATGTAAATATCAAAATGTTTCATTTTACGGGCAAAGTTCATACAACAAAAAGTGAAGTTAAGCATTCAGATGTCAACACTGCTGTCCATTCAGGGTTTGGTCAAACTACTTTAAATACATTTCTTGCTGTCGTGAACGTTCCTAGATTAGAAATACAAATACTACAGAAAATCATTACTTTTATTTGTATTTTTTTATGACTTCCTCATACTATTAAGTTAAAATTTTAAATTATATCAACCTAAAGTATAAACAACGTCCCTTCCCCAGAAGGCATCGATAAAGTGATAAACTTGACCTGTACGCGGGAATAAAAAGGTTGGGAAGCACTGATCTAACAGACATTTGAATTAGCGGGCGTTGATTGTATCGATTACAACGTTGCCAAGTTGTAATCACAATACGCCACTATGCGTCGACTGCTTTAAGAACATTTTTATTTTAAAAATCTTATCTCTTTATCAAAACGGTAAAAAAATTCAGCGTTTTTTTTAGAAAATTAGTTTTTAAAAAATATGGTAAGAACCGTTTTCTTGAAATAAATGCAATGATTGTGTACCTGACAGGGTTTCAATAGTGTTAATTATGCACATTTTGATTGTTAATATCTCGTTTTACAGACGGTCAAAATTTTTTATTTTTTTTAGGTACATATAAGACACTTTCATTAACCTCATATTTCAATTTTATTGAATTTTTAAGAAAAGCCGTTTTACGAGTGAACTACCTTAATATAAAATGAAATATTTTGAGAGACCGAAATATTGACAAATTTTGCTCCAGTGCCAAGGCCCTTTGGCCCCTTAGGGCAAGCCGCCACTGATTGTATGGTTTACAATCTGGTGGATCTCGATTGTTTAGAGTGAAATAGACAATAGTTATTTTAATTACTCTCAATCCTATTGACAGGCATTCACCCCACTCCAATTCATTGGTTTTACCGAAAATGCCATTGGGTTTGATTTTTGAAATAGATCATACTGTATATGTTGTGTTTTCTTTTTGGAATCTACGCGCAGTTTGCCAAATTTTTATTTTTTCCAATTTTTTTTTTTTTGAGAAAGATATGAGCTGGAAAATAATGTTTAAATAGCCTCGAATAACGCGAAGCAGAAGCTATTTTACCAATTAATTTAAAAATAAATCTTTGAGATAAAATATAAATTTCTTAAACGTGTTTCACCAAAATCTCACATTTTTTAAATGGCACCTATTAAGGGTCATTTTACTATTAGATGACGAATTTTATTATCAATCTGACAATATGCACCATGCACTACTTAGAACATAATTTTCCATTTCATAGATATTTTTTTTAACAAAAATTTGTTTGGTAATAATTATAATTTGACAACACTGTCATATAATTTGAACAAAAAATCAAAATATACCAGGTGATCTATTTAAAAAATAAAACTTAATAGCATTTGCGGTAAACCCGGAAGTCGGCCATTTTGTTTAAGTATAAATATCAATTCAATATTACGTCTAATGAGTTTGTTCCAAATTTGATCCAAATCGCTCTATAATTAAAATAATAAGAGATATATTAACGTGGACCTGGTTTCATTGTATACCATTTTGTTTACAATTTTAAAATGTTTATTTTGTTTATAATTTTGAACTTGTTGACGATGTGAACAATTTTGAAATTGTTAAACAACTTTTCAATTTGAAAATTTAAATTTGTCAGAATTTGCTGTTTTAGGTTTTATTTATATTGTAAACAATATTTAAATTGTAAGTAACACCTAATTTGGTAAAATTTTAAAGCAAGTTTCAGTACTTAGGTATTCACAATTTTTGTAAACAATTACAAAAATGTGAACTATCCTGAACTTTGATTTTCTCATTATTATGAACATTTTAAAATGGTGAACTGTTTTAATTTGATCATAATTTTGTTTTGAAATATTTTAGAATTGTTCACAATTTAAAAATCGTAGCTATTAATAATGTGAAGAAGATGAAAAATTATTTTGCGCTATTTAAGAAATTTGTATTGCGAACAATTTCAAAATTGTGAATATTTTTGATTTGTTCATACTTTAAAATAAGTGAATAAATCATCCTGAACCATGTGAATGTTGAAATATTGAGTTTTGTTCATCAGTCATTCAGTATCACATCAAGAAACTACAATTTTTTCAGCTAACAACATTGCAAGAATCATTTGTAAAAGTTAAAATATTTTTACCCAGATCTAGAGAATTAGTGTAACAAAAATATTAAATTGGTAAAGAATTAGATGCAATCGTTGCATGAAAATTTACCGATATGGGGAAAATGACGTATTATTACGAAATATACCAAATTAGCTTAATGTTAGCAGATAACGTAGCTTTTCATATTATTATTAAGAGGAAATATAAATTTCAACTATTTACAGGCCACTGCATTGTACTATACCGCGTTTAATATTACTAATTAGAATTTTCTTTGCTACTAGCAAATGTAAACTTTTGCTTACCGCCTTAAAAAAAAAACATCTTGTATATAATTTCTATCTGGTTTTTCTTTCAAGAAAACTTTTAAAATATTGTTAAAATCTTTGAAAACTAAAACAAAAATAATAAAAGGCAATTTTAGCATAGGATTCAAAAATAGAATTAAAACTAAATAAAAATATGTTTATGTGAAATGAGATTCTTTTTTTTTAATAAAAAAATTAGTAGGTAATTATGTTTTAGCAGCATTTTAAAAAACTACCAACCACTACCAAAAAAAAAAAAAAAATGGGATAATTTGTCAGATAGGTCGATCTACAAAACTAAATACAATTTTCAATATTCAGCCTATAACCATAACAAACTTTATAAAAATGGTAAAAGTCGAAAATAAACTATTAATATTGGCTATCATACACTTCACTGAGAATATTTTTGACACTTTCATACAAATGGATTAATTGAAAACGTATCTTCCAAAAATCGCTGCTGTCTTTAGCTGCAAAAAGATCAACAACAAAAATTCGTCGTGACCGATACGTCCCGGTAGTAAAAATAGCGTATCTCACTTAAATAATTTCTTTGGTTGCGTACTCCCGCAGTAAACTTTACGTAGAACAGAAGTAAAAGTTGGAAATGCTTTTGCTAGTTCTCCCACTTTATACACATAAATTGACAGGTTGGCAGCGGATCTCACCGAAGTGGACGCGATACATTGGCGTACAAAATTATTTTATAGATGTTAATAACAATTTCGAGTAAATAGTTTAATAAATTGTGAATAGCTGTTGAAATGTTGTAAAATTATGATTTGAATATTAAAATACATGTTTAATAATTATTTATAATCCATAAATACATGCGATTGTCCGGTTCCGCTGATAACAATTTAAAATTACTTATTCTATGAAACGACACTGGTAGGTAAACATTACTGCGAAATTCTCGGAGCCGCCCGACGTGGTTTGACGTTTACCCCCTCTCTACCTACCAAAAGACTTTTCAACTTTTACTTTCTCTATACATCGTACATTACATAACCTAAAACTTGTACTAGCGTTATATACAGTACTTATTTTTTCCTCTATGATGTAGTCATACATAGACAGACAATAACAAAGGCGCTAAGCGTGTAATCTCTCATACCACCAAGTTCTACTCAGCCGATCGGAAATACTGTTGCTAACTGCACCGATTTACTGATTTATACTATTCGCGATTCAAATTAATTTCCCCGCGCTGTGTAAGTAGGCAAGAAACACTACAGTGTCGTACCATTTAATTTATTTGTAATAGAATTTTGTACCAATAGGTAAAGTTCCGCTGTTAGCGTGGTTACCTTTGTCACTGAAATTATGAAATTCGGAATTATATTTTTGAGTTCTACTTCAATAATATAGTAATATATTTGTTACAATTTTAATAACAACGGCAATACTGAAGCTACCCCCCAGAGGGCGTATCGCTTAGATTGAATCTTGAATTACCAATAACACGTCAGACAGGAAGAAACTAATGGTAGGATTCTGGGAAATATCCTATAAGCTGCAGCATCTGTAAGATATAGTAATGTAAAGTAATTTTTTTTACAGATTTTGGCTTATAGATCTTATAGATTATCTCGATCCATAAGGGTATGGTCCGTTATTAACCGACTACTAATCGCAAGGAGCGAGGATTTTTCTACAGGGGTTCCTGAAAAAAACTAATTCCTTATTTACATTTGGACCATGGCCGAAATTTACGTCACTTTTGTAACAGATTGACATTTTACTTAATAGTAACCGTAAAAATATAGCGGTGACGTTTGAGTCGCCATTTTCAGATAACCGCGTCCCCCTAATTCAACCGATTTTTCAGGAATGTCAAGCAGAGCGGTTAGTTTTCGACCGAATAACCGATATTTCGGTTAATAATGGACCACACCCTTAGTATAGGGTTATCTTGACATCTGACATTTGCCGATTTCAAAAAGACGTCATTAATTAATAGACAGCTAAAGTGCTGTTTTACAAAAGATCATTTGTCACCAAATTAAAGGATAACATTTTTTAAAGATCGATAACTCGATTCCTTTCACACTGACGCGTTTCAATTTTTTGTAGGGATGATAAACAGACATGTTTGATTTGGGCCAAAACATTTTTAGACAATTTACTTACACGTTTTTGGAATTCAAATTGTTCACCTTAGTTAAATTTCATTACTAAAGCAGTAACAGTATTATAGATTGTTTTTCTTCCTAATAGAATTATTGTTTTTAAGTGAGACACGCTATTTGTTTATTATTACATCATTCTAAATCTACAAACCGTTTTCTTCACCTACTCAGAAACAAAATCTTACACTAGACACCCGTCATCCAACTCTGAACAGAAATTTCCTAATGCATAGGCATGGACAGCATATTTACCCGTACGTCCATCAAAGTCTGATAAACCCTTTCAAAACTAGGCCTGTCGACAGGCTTTTGTCCCCAGCACTGCTTCATTAGTTCGTAGACAGGCGCAGGGCAACTTTCTGGACTAGATAACACGTTTCCCTCTTTGAGAAACTTGATGACCTCCTCGTGCGTCATCCCGTAGTATGGTTGTAAGGCATAGGAGAAGATCTCCCACAGGCATACGCCAAAGGCCCATACGTCAGATTCGGGGGTGTATTTGTTATAGAGAATGCTTTCTAATGGCATCCATCGTACGGGTATGGCGTCCCGGTCACTGCCTTTGTAATAGTCTTGGAGGTAGATCTTTTGTGACAGGCCGAAATCGGCTATTTTCACCACCATGTCGTCGCTGATGAGACAGTTTCTAGTGGCTAAGTCTCTGTGTACGAACTTTCTTTGTGATAAGTAGACCATACCTAAAATGGGATTTGCTTAGTGTTTGTTTGAATTGTGGGATTAAAATGATCATATTTTTGGATTATACTGTTTCACATCATTATTTTATTCTAAGTCTAAATTATATTACTTATATTAAAATGAAATTATTAAACATATATTAACCAGCGCAATAAAAGTGTTCACTTAAGGCGCTTGCTGTTTTATATTCCAGAAATTACATTAATAACATAAACATTTTTATATAAACGTTTATACTTGAAATTGGTTCAGCAATGCGCCCTTTGAATCACAACCTATCATTAAGTAACACCCTGTATGTATAGGGTATAAATAATGATGTCTCCTGTTGTTTTATTGTAAAGCATTTATTTTGTTATTCTAATAAAGAATATTTTGTTTTTTGTCCTCATTTTTAAGTTTTGGTTGAATTCCTAACAAAATTAAGCGTGGCTCTAAAAAATTTGTGGCCCTTTTACTGAAACGACAATGTCCCGCTTTTTCATTACAAAGATCTGGCAACTCTGATCTCCTCACGACAGTTAGGAATGACTCAATGCAAAGACAGCAACTGCCAATGGACTGGAAACAGGCTATAGTCACTCCTATATACAAGAAAGGTGACAAAAAGAATCCCATAAACTACCGACCAGTCAGTCTTACAAACTATCGGTAAAACAATGGAAAAGATTATTACAAAAGAAGTAACCGAGTTCATGAGTTTTACCAAGCAATCAGCATTTTATGCCCAAAAGATCTGCAGTTAACCAGTGGATATATCTTGATTGTGAGAAAGCTTTTGATAAAGTTCCACATAGAAGGCTGCTTAGCAAACTGGAACATTTTGGAATAAGAGGCAATCTATTATTGTTGATCAAGAGTTTCTTACTCAACTGGCAGTTCTGCATAAGAATAAATGGACAGCTGTCAAAAAATCATCCAGTTCAAAGTGGAGTACCACAAGGCTCCGTCTTTTTTATTTTATACACCAGCGATTTATGAAAAATCATCGAGTCCGAAGCTAACTTTTATGCAGATGATCGAAAGATCTACTGTAAGCCATTGGAAAGCTCTGACAAAATGAAACAAGACTTCTTCTCAACATAAACAAGTGTACAGTATTGCACATAGGCCCAAATAATCCCCACACACAGTACACCTTAGATACAAACGCAATTACTCCAGTCGAAACACAAAAGGATCTTGGTGTAACCATGTCTAAAGACTTAAAATGGGAACCCCACATTGCTAATATACTGAAGAAAGTCAACAGTCTCATTTACCTTATCAAAAGAGCTTTTAAAGACCATTCTGAAGATATGATCCTCAAACTATATACAACTTACCAAAGATAGAATTTGCACAGACTGTCTGGGATCCATACTTTGTTAAAGACATTGAACTGCTGGAAAGAGTACAAAGGAGAGTCACCAAAATACCACCAACCCTAAAAAACAATGAGTATTGTGATCGGCTAGCCAAACTACAACTAACAAGTTTAAAGGATATAAGAATTAGAGGAGACTTAATGAAAACCTACAAGTGGACCAGCGGATATTACACCTGTGATAACATCTTCCAGGCCAGCACATCAAGAACCTTCTTGAGAGGTCACTCGAAGAAATTAGATAAAGAAGAGTGTAATAAACTGCAAAGAAAAAATTTCGTAACAAACAGAATTGTATATCTGTGGAATGGTCTCCAGCAACATACAGTCTCAGCCCAGAACATAAACCAGTTCAAGGCGAGAGTGAATATAGAACTTGAAGAAAGAAAAAATAGTTTTATTCATTATAGCTTATATTGTATTGGATTTTAACTGATGTAGTGATTTAGAATAATTTTTGTCACTAACTAAAGGAGCAGCTTCATCAACTTGCCTGTTCTAAACAATAATAATAAATCAAACCACCAATAACATGATACACTCCTATCATACTAAAGAAGGTGGTGAACTTCGTACACCCTTCTCAAGATTAGCAGTGTGCCAGAACTAGGGATGCCACCTGTAAGGGTTTCACCCGGACAGTACAGGTTTCATTTTTAGAAGCTCGACAGAAGGACCTGGTTTATAAAATTATAAGTTGAGGACTTTTTTTTAGAAATTTTACAAACAACAGTCTGGGTTTTGAGAAATGAAAAGAAGGTTTGGATTTTGAGAAATGAAAAGGTGGCAACCCTAGCCAGAACTCTCCCTATTATCAAGGAACCATCTTATATAAACATTCTGTTAAAATTCTAAGCAATATAAAAAGTTCTAAAAATTCAAATTCATGCTGTTTCGGTTTCTTGTGTAAGGCCTTCTATTCTCTAGAATGTGTACCTATGTTTATTTTTAGTTGTTTTATATATTTTCATTTTTGTATAATATTTTAAGCATAAACTCTCTATAATTTTAAAGCTGTGAGAACTGGATATGAATGTGTTTCGTGTGGATGTGTACAGTGTGAAAGCTGACTGTATGAAAATTTGACTAGTCTGATAAACTTTTTTAAGCATGTAAAATGTAAAAGAAAAATACTTTATTGGCGAATAAATTCTATTCTATGATATCATAACAATATACAATACTTAGCCCTTTCCTCACTTTGTTTTGATGAAATAAAGAAAAATTCAGTTTTAATAAAAACAACACAAAAATATTAAATATAGGTAGTTTGATTAACGATTTTTTTTTTACAAAAAATACTGGGAAATTTACACTTAATATTAAATCATTTGTTATAATTAATGTGGGTATAAGTAGTTATTAGATACAAATTACCTAGATAATCCAAAAATATGACCTTCATGAACCTAAGTTGTCTAATCACTTACCTGAAGCAATCTGAAGAGCAATATTGACTTTCTCTAGATGACCCAACTGGTTATCCTTGTAAACATCCCTATTGGGTGAGCTGCCATCTATAATGCTTCTAACTATGTAATTACTAGGTGAACACTGCCTCAAGAACTCGTTCAAATCCCCTTTTCCCATGTATTCAAAAAGCAAGCACATTGGTCGTCCCATAGCACACACACCAAGCAATTTCACGATATTTGGATGATCAAATTCGGCCAACAAACAAGCTTCTTTTTCGAAATCGTCCTGCATGTCCTCAGAAGCGTCTTCTTTAAGCATTTTAACAGCTACTATGGTGAATTCTTCACCTGAGATTAATCCTGGTGCTTTAGCCTGGAACACACTACCAAACGCTCCTTGTCCTAAATCTCTAATGTAGATAATATCATTTCTGGGGAATTCTAATTTTTCTAATTTGGGGTTTAAAGTAGCCCCATGGCTGTGGTATGCCATGTTACTGGGAAGTTTGTCTAAATCGATGTTAACTTCACCAGTTTCTGGGGCATTGTAACCCAATAAACGTCGTTTGTGAATGCGATAACATAGTAGAATTAATAATAGAACTGAAAGAAGAACAAATAACCCAACAGAAGATGCTACAATTAGGAAAGTTGGAGACAGAAATCGATCCATAGCAATACTTTTAGTTTCAACTTCTTCAAAAGTCGAATTTGGGCAACGTGGTATATCGCAATGTTGCCATCGTATCTCCGGATTAGTAGTAAAGCACCAAGGTCTCTTCTCCTCTCCCCCAGCATTCCTACAGTAATTCTCAGCATTGGTAAGTTCCGGAAAAATATTAGGTGGTGAATCATGGGTATGTGGCAATTGAGAGTCCCACCGTTGACACGGTATCCCCGCTTTGGTAATATTAACTTTACCTTGATAAAATCGCCCTCGACCTTTAACACAATCATGACTCACTTCATCTAATTTCATGTCGGTCAAACCAGCATAAGCACATTCTGGCTCATCTCTATTGTATTTGGGCAAAATAGAACAATCTGGTAAACGAAAATGACCCCTAGATTTAATATAAATACCTTGCAGCTTTTTATCTTCAATCAGACCCCATTCTTTGTAGCAAAACAATTTCTGCACTGCCACACAATCTTGGTGGCACAATGGAAGAGGTTTAGATACATTGCAATCGGGAAATGAATAGAAACAAAGCAGTTTTTCTGCTGCGGTTCTACACGGCTCGTTCAAAGTCACTATCAGCTCGTCCCAAAGAGCTGTGGTAATTTTTTCATTTTCGTAACCGCCGCTGTTGTTATACCACACTTGTTTGGAGCTTAAAATGTAGTTTTTACAAATGAATCCGTGGTAGGAACCACAGTAGCCTTCAGATGAGGATTCAGAGGCTCGTGCGAAAATTAGTAACAAAAACAATGGATACATGGTAATAAAGCTTGGTTGGCGTTTTGTTAAATCATTTTCGATGGGTTTCGTGTCGTTTTGTAATGATTTTAAGTTATGTTTTTGTGGTTTTAGGAATGCTACACCTTTACATTTACGAGTTATTAATTGACAATATTGACATATTTGACATTGAAATGAGCTAATTGACTTTGACACTCCGTCGATGATACTTGTCATATTCATAAACCTTTATTCGCTAGATGAACTTTAACTACAAAGGAATCTGATTCTAGCATAATACACATCACAGTTTCATCGTTAATATCCGGAGGTGCGAATTTCAAAGTTCTATCACTAAATAATGAAGAAACTTACTTTTTATAATATTTTGAGTGATATTTAAGTATGGAAAATTACTTTGTAAATGATATTTTCATTTAATTATAATAAAATGCAATATAATGACTATTTGACCTAATTTTTGACATTATTTCCTTCCACAAAACATAAAACAAAATAATTTATGGAATTGTCTATCGGTCCTTGAGTTTGCAACGTTACCATAAGGTATTTTTCGCGACATAAACAGGTATTTTTCGCGACATAAACGGATTATGTTGTTCGAACATGTTCGTCTATCCCCCCACCACATATAGTATATGTTGACGCCAAAATGGAAAATCCATGCTGTTTTGAAAGTGGGCAGTGAGTTGAAGTAACAATTTTTTATTACTTCAATTACTTATGTGTGTGTAAACCACGCGAGTTTTCTTAAGAATTTAATTATTTTATATTAATTATTAATGTACCTATTGTCTAAAATTTACAACAAATTCTACTTGTGCTATTTATATTTACAATCTTTAATTGTTGAATAATTTCGTTTCTTTCCTCGACTTCAATTTCAATCTTATTTAATTTAAATTTTAAAATTAAAGCCATCTTTTAGCTATAAGGTATTTTTCGCGGCATAAACCAACATAAACGTTTATGGTAGATTATGTTATTTAGGCATGATCTTCCGTTTTGGCCGACATCAAGGACCGGAGGGGAGGTTGTAATGACGTCACTGTTTAGCATACTCGAACATGATCTCATCCACAGGCGGTTATGTTAATTCATGTGTTTGACAAATGACTAGAAACGGTATACAAAGCTAAAAGATGGCTTTAATTTTAAAATTTAAATTAATTAAGATTGAAATTGAAGTAGAGGAAAGATACGAAATTATTCAACAATTAAACATTGTAAATATAAATAGCACAAGTAGAATTTGTTGTAATTTTTAGACAATAGGTACATTAATAATTAATATAAAATAATTAAATTCTTAAGAAAACTCGCGTGGTTTACACACACATAAGTAATTGAAGTAATAAAAAATTGTTACTTCAACTCACTGCCCACTTTCAAAACAGCATGGATTTTCCATTTTGGCGTCAACATATACTATATGTGGTGGGGGGATAGACGAACATGATCGAACAACATAATCCGTTTATGTCGCGAAAAATACCTTTTTGTATACCGTTTCATTTGTCAAACACATGAATTAACATAACCGCCTGTGGATGAGATCATGTTCGAGTATGCTAAACAGTGACGTCATTACAACCTCCCCTCCGGTCCTTGATGTCGGCCAAAACGGAAGATCATGCCTAAATAACATAATCTACCATGAACGTTTATATTGGTAATTGTTCTGTGATGTTGGTTTATGCCGCGAAAAATACCTTAAACAGATTAGGTCTTTTCCTTTGCATCGAAAGTGTAGCACTGAGCTACGTTACTTCTGAAAATATTGTTCCATCCATACAATTTGTATAAATGGAACGATATTTTCAGAAGTGGTGTAGCTCGGTCCTACACTTTCGATGCAAAGGAAAAGACCTATTATAAGGTATTTTTCGCGGCATAAACCAACATAAACGTTTATGGTAGATCATGTTATTTAGGCATGATCTTCCATTTTGGCCGACATCAAGGACCGGAGGGGAGGTTGTAATGACGTCACTGTTTAGTATACTCGAACATGATCTCATCCACAGGCGGTTATGTTAATTCAGGTGTTTGACAAATGACTATACAGACGGTATACAAAGATAAAAGATGGAAATAAGATTGAAATTGAAGTAGAGAGGAAAGTGACGAAATTATTCAACAATTAAAATATAGTATAGAGGGTATAAATAGATTAATTAAAATAGCACAAGTAAAATTTGTTGTATTTTTAGACAATATATTTAGGTACATTAATATTAATATAAAATAATTAAACTGTTTTTACTCTTAGGAAAAATCGCGTGGTTTACACACACATGAGTAATTGAAATAATAAAAAATTGTTACTTCAACTCACTGCCCACTTTCAAAACAGCATGGATTTCCCATTTTCGCGCCAACATATACTATATGTGGTGGGGGGATAGACGAACATGATCGAACAACATAAAGGTATTTTTCGCGACATAAACAGATTATGTTGTTCGATCATGTTCGTCTATCCCCCCACCACATATAGTATATGTTGGCGCGAAAATGGGAAATTCATGCTGTTTTGAAAGTGGGCAGTGAGTTGAAGTAACAATTTTTTATTACTTCAATTACTTATGTGTGTGTAAACCACACGATTTTTCCTAAGAGTTTAATTATTTTATATTAATTATTAATGTACCTATTGTCTAAAAATTACAACAAATTCTACTTGTGCTATTTATATTTACTATCTTTAATTGTTGAATAATTTCGTATCTTTCCTCTACTTCAATTTCAATCTTATTTAATTTAAATTTTAAAATTAAAGCCATCTTTTAGCTTTGTATACCGGTTCTAGTCATTTGTCAAACACATGAATTAACATAACCGCCTGTAGATGAGATCATGTTCGAGTATGCTAAACAGTGACGTCATTACAACCTCCCCTCCGGTCCTTGATGTCGGCCAAAACGGAAGATCATGCCTAAATAACATAATCTACCATAAACGTTTATGTTGGTTTATGCCGCGAAAAATACCTTAAAAGATGGCTTTAATTTTAAAATTTAAATTAAATAAGATTGAAATTGAAGTAGAGGAAAGTGACGAAATTATTCAACAATTAAAATATAGTAAATATATAAATAGATTAAGGACATATTCCACCGTTATGTTAAACGAAGTTTAAAATGACATTTTTACATTAACTGTCATTTTAATCTCCGTTTAACACAACGGTGGAATCGGCCCTAATTAAAATAGCACAAGTAACATTTTTTTGTAATTTTTAGACAATATATTTAGGTACATTAATATAAAATAATTAAACTGTTTTTACTCTTAGGAAAAATCGCGTAGTTTACACACACATGAGTAATTGAAATAATAAAAAATTGTTACTTCAACTCACTGCCCACTTTCAAAACAGCATGGATTTTCCATTTTCGCGCCAACATATACTATATGTGGTGGGGGGATAGACGAACATGATCGAACAACATAATCTGTTTATGTCGCGAAAAATATCTTTATAGTCACTTGTCAAACACATGAATTAACATAACCGCCTGTGGATGAGATCATGTTCTAGTATGCTAAACAGTGACGTCATTACAACCTCCCCCCGGTCCTTGATGTCGGCCAAAATGGAAGATCATGCCTAAATAACATGATCTACCATAAACGTTTATGTTGGTTTATGCCGCGAAAAATACTTTCATGTTGTTGAATTTAAAATCTCTGTGTGTTATGCCCAAGTTTGAATTTAATAGCGTTCTATGATAGCAATAATTGTCATTTATGATTTGAATTATTTATTGTCTATATAATTATTAATAAAAATAATGAAAATTAAAAGTATTCTTGATGTTGTGGACGTTTATAAAAAACATCACTATTACTCGAGCCTTAAGGTAGTTCACTCGCGACAGTCGTACATAAAAATATCGCATAATGGTAAATGCCAATAGTTCGAGATTTTTAATGTCAATCAATTTTATTTTTGTAAAAGACTTTACAAAACACATGTAAAACTTATATATATGGATGTTATAATTTCAATAAAATACATCCGGCAACCTCGCAAATCTGTGAATGGTGTGCTATAGAAATTTGTGACTTCCTCATACAAATTTTAAGGGTTTGTTTTGGTTCAAACAAAACCGCTGATTCCAGTTCCAAATACAGTGGACGAATTAATTTTTCAAGAATACGTCGCGAGGTTATAACAACCTCTTTGCCGATCGAGTGTTATTTTCGGTAGCGATTACAATGTTGCCAAGTTGTAAAATATTTTTATTTTAAAACTATATCTTTTTACTAAGACGGTCAAAAAATTCAGCGTTTTTTAGAAAATTTTATAACTTCTTGATTTACATTACATTAGTTTTTAAAAACTATGGCAAGAACCGTTTTTGCGATATCTTGAAATAAATGCATTGTTTGTGTACCTGACAGGCTTCAAGAGTGTTAATTATACACATTTTAATTGTTATTATCTCGCTTCACAGACGGTCAAAAATTAATTTTTTTTTCTATAACCATTTAAAAATCAACAACTTTCGTCACGTTTTACTCCAACCGAAAACACCAGTTCCGACACCAGTGACAGAATATCCCATAACGTTAACTTTCGTCTCTAGTGACGAAAGTAAGTAGTTGCAATTTCAGATAAGTATTATAAAATTATTCTTAGTCTTAGAATTTATTTTTAGGATTTTATAAAGGAAAAGTTTAATTATAATATAAAGGTAGATGCCAAAACAAACATGGTAAAACGGGGTTTACCCCTAAATCGCAGATTTCGTCGAGATCACTTTAAAGATAATTCAACTCATTCAAACTTCTTGTACACCCTGTATAGTAAGCCATGGTTATAGAAAAAGTATAGTGTTTTACTCGTCGAAAAGCATTTGCTGCAACATGAGAACATTAAACTGTTCTCTCGTTTGCAGAAAATGCTACTTTCGTCACTCGATATACTATTTTAGTTACGTAAACGACACTTTCATTAACCTTATATTTCAATTTTATTGAATTCTTAAGAAAAGCCGTTTTACGAGTGAACTATCTTAACATGGTCTTAACTTTATTTTTTCTATAAAAAATATATATATATAATTTTATTTTAAGCTTATATCTTTATAAAGGTGGAAGTCATGTCATAAGCATTCCATCAACCGTTAGTAAATTGGAATATCTGTAAAACTATACATTTACACTGCTGGCAAGATCAAACCTTTGGTCATGTTTTACTTGTGTTGGATTAAATATAGTCAATGGCGCTTACTTGTACATTCAGGGATTTATATATTGACATATTGATAATTACAGGTCGAGTTACCGGTCGGTAGTGCGTAGTGCGTTACTGACCTGTAACCATAGATCCTGTAACATTGGTATATATACTGGGCTGTAACCATAGATTACTAATGTGAACCTTTAACTAGCAACGCTGATACCACAGGCTTGTTCTGTTTTTTTCAAAATGTACTGTACTGCAAACCGTCCGAGATCTAGTGGAACACTAAATATCAAATTATGCATCGTGTAAAAGTTTTCAACTTTGCATTGGCCATCTAATACACGGACAGTTTTCAACATATTTTTGAAGAACCAGAACATACCATATTTCATTTTTTCTTAATACACATGCAAATGTTGGCATCAAATATATTTGAAATCTTTAGTTACAAATTTTTAATCTAGTTATACAAGGTCTTTATCAAGAATAGATATTTACAGTAATGAGTTGCGATGATGTCGGATTTATTTAAAAACCGCCTGCTGTTTATGCAACATATTTTACTTACCGGATATTCCCATAAATATTCCTAACCTTATTGATTATAGCATATTGCAACAAATCATTGTTGAATTCAATTATTATTGAATAAATGCGTATTTATGAGAAATACTAAACACAATTACTGACCTGTTTCTAAAAATCAATGATCTGAATAAAATTAAAACCATTTTTGGCAGCTCACCAACTTGGATTTCTACTACAGAGATGCAGCCTTGTATTGTTGAAATTATGAACTGAAGGTAGGTTACATATTAAAATCGTTTTAAGAAAACAAAAGTTTATGTTGCTTGTTGCTCATGTAAAACCTATGGCTTAAAAATAAAAATAGGTTTCCTAAAGATTACACAACTTCAGTATGTTGGTAAAATCTATTTTCTTTTTTAATAAATTTACCAGTGACAGGACCGGCATTGGCTCTTTTTGCATATTTATATAGTTTCGTTTCACTATAGCAATATTATGCAATGTTGAAAAAATAACAAGATACACGTAATAAGGGTGGAAAATGACTTATTAGACGAGTGTTTAAGCTTATATATACGAGGCTTAGCCAAGTTAAATCATTTCAGCAAGTAATATACATCTTACCTCTACTGCTCCATTTAAATTTTCTACCAGAAAAAAACGTCTCATCAGCTGAATTGATTTATTGAAACAATTTTTTCTGTTATAAAACCCTCCAAAAAAAGCTAGGGATGTTAAGCTTTTTCTTTAAAATATATTGGTACAAATTACAGATATTCATCTTTGGATATATTAGATACCTGATGACGATTTAAAATAAACTCCAACGTAAACAAATAGAAAAAATTATATTACTAAATCACCTCATATGAATATTTAAAATATAAGAGGGACGGCAAAGAAAATACGATTTAAAATACATACAATTTTATTGCCAAAATAATCATTTATTCACAAAAAAGAAAATCATAAACTCAAAGTAATTTCACATAAGTACAAGCAATTGTAACATTTTATTGCAAAAATTGGAGTAGCTGTTTAATAATTTAAATGCTTGAATTTTAATAAAATACATGTCAAAAAATCTGAAAACTCACCATTATTGTACTTTTACAGTATTTGAACAATTTTCAATAATCGCAATAAGTATCGAAACACACTGCAACATTGCAAATATTATTGTAACTTATCAGTAATAATTTATTTGCCATTATTATGTTTATCTAATTTAAATTTTCCTAATATTTTAATCTATATAAACTTTCATTTATGACCTGCCATTTCAGCTGCTTTTTTCGTAGAATTCTCTATGGCGTCCATAAACGCTGCCCTAAAATAAAGTAATAATTACTCTAATAGACGGCACAAACAGGAAATGTCAAAAAAACAGTCAGTATTTATGCCAAACGAATGGCGAATAATTTACCTCATTCCTCCCTTTTCCAAAGCGTAAACGCCCTGTATAGTGGTCCCACCAGGCGAGCAAACCTCATCCTTCAACCGCCCTGTGTGTTTTCCGGTATCTCTAGCCATTTTGGCCGCACCCAGGGTCATTTGGGCCGCAAGCTCTGATGCTAGGACTCTGGGAAGCCCCATTTTGACAGCGCCATCAGCTAGAGCTTCGATGGCCATGTAGATGAAGGCCGGACCGCTGGATGTAAGAGCGCCTGCAACGTTGATGAGGTTTTCAGGAATTTCCCTGCAGGTGCCGGTTATTGATAGTATTTGGTTGACTAAGTATATGTCTTCTTGGGTGGCAGAGTGGTGGGGACTGATTAGCGTACAGCCTAAAAATGGGGGCACTGTAGATTAGGGGATTTTGGGTTTGGAAAAAAAATGTGTCTAAAAGTTACAGTTACCATAAATTAACATAACCAAGATTTTTATTTATTTCTTCAAATGAATTTTTAACACTTACAAAAAAGTGTAGTAATAAAATTTGAATTTGATGTGTAATATACAAAAACCTACCTTCTCCAACAGTCATTGGAGTATTAGGCATAACTCTAATAATCCTACCGCCAAATTCGCTTAGAACATGTTCCAACTGTTTCAATGTTATCCCAGCCAAAATTGATACAAATAGTTTCGATTGGTGCATAATAGGATGGGTTTTCTTAATTTCCTCAATAGCTGTATGTAGAATGTGGGGTTTAACTGATATAAAAACAATATCGGCATTTTCTACTAGTGATCCATTTTCCTGGGTAGCGTGGCAGCCTCTTTCGGACCACCATGTTAGGTTGTGAATTCTTGGACCTGATACATGAATTTGACCATATGGAACAAGTCCTATAGATACATAATAAAAATATAAATTTCATTTGATACTTGTGGTATATTCTGTATGTATTAAAGCTGTTTTAAAACAACTCTTAATCAGTTAATGTATATTTTTTGACATATATGTTTGAATTTTTATTAATAATAAAAAAAGGTTCTAAATAAATTTTTTATACTAAAAAATTAGGATAAAATATAAAATCGACAAAGTTGTACGTTTTTTACCAGACAGACAGGAAATACACATTGAAGGAAGCGTCCCTATGTTAGCACAATTTCAAATTAGAGCTCGAAATGGTAGGTACTTGATTGCATTCAAATGTATTTCAAAGTTTCGCAATTTGTGACAACAGGTCCTAGTATTTGGTAATTATTTTTATAATATGCAGTTTTGTTGTGGTTACCATGATGCATGTTTGTGAGTTTCTAATGCAAAAGAGCAAATTGGAAAAATGAGGGCTTTTTATAGGATCATGAAATGCGTTTACATAATTTTATTTCAATTAAAATAGGTCGGAAATATAAAATAAATTTTGGTAATAGACCATGAAACACTAAACAATGCTATTCTACGATTTTGTAAAAGGTATCAGGGGCTGCTCCAGGGGAGGGGAGCGTAGTGACCCGTGCCCCTCCCCTGAAATTAAAACTCTTACAATCCATAAGCCTTCTATTAAAAAAAATATGCTAAAAAGGGAATTGTTATTGGAACTGACCCCCCCCCTCCTACCCCCAAAAATTCGGCCTGGAGCCGCTCTTGTAAGGATGTTGGAGTTACAGAAGGACATCTATACAGGCAGATATTTCGTGAAATAAGGTAAAGAGACAACATTTACTAAATTTGGTGCACCAACTATTCCTTCATACAATGTAGAAACTTTAATTTGATTTATATATGCAATAAATTTAATTTTTATGAAAATATGAATATTTCTTTGATTTTCACTAAAAAAAAATTGAAAATTACTTTAAACAGTTTTAGAATGTGTAAAGTATATTAGAAACTGGTTTTACTTACATATTCGATCCCTAATCTAAATGTGTTTCTGACTGTTTTGTTTTGATTTGTAATGTATCACTTTTGTAATGTATCACCTTCGTCGGGTCACTTTACACATTTTTTTAACAAAAAATAAGGGTCAAATTAAGTGTATTGTTTTGTGAAAACCGATAGCATGTATTAATAACGAATATCTAGAAATAGCGCATATGTTGGACAGACGTATGTTTAATACTAATACTTAAGTAACACCAGGCCTGCACAACTCAGATTTTCAAAGGACCAGTTCAAAAAACTGTAAGTGTACGAGGGCCAAGAGAAGCCTGAGCTTATAAAGCAGGTGGTCGAGGTGGTTTGTTCGCTTATAATGAACCAGATCCTCCTATCGAGCTCCTAAAAAAGGCAACTAATGCCTAAATGCTGAATACTGAAAAATAAATAGTTTGAAGTAGGCGGGACAAACTGGTCAACGGACAAAGGGCTACGAAAACGACAATGGCGGGCCCTATGTTGTACTCTACACTGCTCTACACTAGGGTGGGCAGAAAAATCAATTTTTCGAAAATTAAGATAACGTAGTCCTAAAAAGTTGTATACCTGTTAATAATGTATGCCCAAAATTTTTTAATAAAAAAATTTTAATCTTTAGCCGGGCCCCAGGGTCCCTCAAAAATAGAATTTTTTTCTTCAAATTTTGATTTCTGGTAGTAAAAAATCGATTTACCAAGTACTTTTAAGTACACATGCTAAATTTTATCGTTTTAAAGTTATTTTTAGCCGGGCCCCAGGGTCTCTGAAAATTAATTAAAATGTCCGGCCCTGTATACCTATCACCCGTATATCGATAAAGACCATCCAGATCGTACTTACACTCCATAAGAATGGAATTACTTTGGACACGTCTCGCTACAAACTGCAGGAAATGCTGAAGAAATAACCAAAGGGTTACTATCCTGCTTACAGAAACAGAATACCTCTCTTGAAAATTTGGTTGTCCTTGGTTGTGATGTAACAAATGTTAATACTGGATGGAAAGGCGGTATCGTTCGAAAAATATTGACAAACCATTTCATTGGAGTATTTGTATGCTCCATACCAATGAACTACCACTAAGGCACATATTACAAGAGTTGGCAATACCAAAGGGCGTCATTCTTTCTCGGGGCCTTTAGAAATACTTCTAAAGGATTGCAAAAAAATGCCAGTGATAAAATTTGAACCTATTACTACACAACTTCCGGAACTTACAGAGACAGATTTAAGCACGGACCAACAATTTTTATATCAAATTTGTTAAGCTATTTATTAGTATTGGAATTATTACGGATAACTTGACAAATAAAAATCCGGGAAAATGAGCTATGCTCGTTGGCTCACCAGGCTACGATTATATGTAGCTACTGACAATCCCTCTGATAATCTTAAATATATCACCACGTTTATTTTAAAGGTTTACGCCCCAATATGGTTTCAAATTAAGACAACATCACAGCTACATTATGGGGCAATTCACTTTTGGCACGCAATTAAAGCATCAAAAAGATTTTTGAAAGAGTAATGCCAACTAATGCTTATTTTTCACACACGGAAAATTTATTATTGGCAATGATGTTTGATCCCGGTGACTTTGTAAGAGAATTGGCAATTCGCAGGATATTGAAAGCTAGACAACAAACACCTAAAATTAATTTTGAAGCTAAAGATTACATTAATCTTACTGACTGGCAAAAATGTACCATTACAGAGCCGCCATTAGTAATTAAACTTTCAGATAATTGCTTTCAACAGCTTATTACAGAGAAACAATTATCATTGACTTATTTCGATGTCATACGCAAACCGTGGAAAGATGAGTCAAAACTGTAACAGAGGCGTTGTTGAAAGTTTGTGGTGAAACATCAAGAGATAGGTATATCAGAGCCAAATTGAAAGCAATAAAAATATTGCCTAAGTTTGAGAATAAAGGACAAACAATAGATACACATAAGACAGAGTAATTTATATAACGGGTGGGAGGGTGGGTTGAGCTCAGGATTCAGCTACCTCCACGCGGTGAGCTCTGGAGTGGTTTAATAATTTTTATTTTTCTTTTTATTTAATATCAAAATAGTCTGCTTATAAAAAGTATCAAACCTGAAGCATTCATTTTATGTCATGTGTGTTGCCTAATGGTGGTTAACAGAATTCTACTAGGTGTAACCTGTGTTGCCTACCTTTTTAGTTGGCTATAGGGATGTTTCCGAATGGTCACGAGATAACTCGAGCTTTTATAAGAAAGAATGTACTTCGGTCCGGCCATAGCCCTCAGAAAGTCTAGATACCGCTTGGCGTATGCTGTCAATACAAAAAAATGACCCCATTCAAGCTTGTCGCCATGTTAGGTAAATTTATGTTTTGGCTACACTGATTTTTAGTTTGTGTGTTCTGTAATACGTGAACACCGATAATCTGCACTTTGTTATTAGTTATAAGTGAGTGAGACGCACAATTTCTAATTTCAAATTAAGAACAAAACTTTGACAAACCTATTTGATTTTCCTAGATCTGTTCAGACAGGACCGGTTTTATAAATTTTCTCGTTCTTGAAATGTTATTTTTACATGGTTATATATATTATTGGATAAGTGTTTTGTGTACATATTGCTATGAGAATTATAGAGAAATTCAGTGAGATTTATGTAATATAATTTAAATTACAAGTAAATTATCTGTTCCTGTTTGGCAATATGGAGAAAATACCTACTTCAATGTCAAATGTACTATTTAAAAGAATGTGATTGTTAACCGGTCATTTATTTATATTATGAAAATAAAAACTCGAATTTTTTAACTATAGGGAAAGATATACTTACTTAACAAGGTATTTTTAGAAAAACTAATAGATTACTCCTATTCCTATAGTTTATTTGAAAATTAATAATAGCAAAATTATATAAAAATATGGACCTTTGCCATAAAAACTGTGCTACCAACCATTTTCAAATAAACTATAATGATAATTTGATTTAATAGAGCGAGTATAAGATCTCACCTGTTAGAGAAATTGGGGCATAGGGAAGAGATTATGAAGCAGGTAAGCAAAGTCGTTGCAAAAGATAAATATATAGAAGTTATTTTAAAAATTTGATAAAAAACTAGTGGAACAATAAATGGAGTTGTCGCTATCGGAGATCCAATCAGCAGAAAGTAAAAAAAACTTTGGGAATGTTGGAAAAGGGCACAGCAATAGGCCCGAAACAATTCCTTGGTTTTTTAATAAATATAATCTTGTGAGATGCAAAAAATACTGCTAGGGTGGAGAAGCAGTATTGTTCTAATGTAGAAAACCCAGGGACATACAGCAGTGCACTAACCATAGGCGAATAGTCACTAAATTATACAAGAGTCCCATCTCGATTTTATTTTTAAATATTTTTGAGAATACCTATTATTATTTGTTACATTGAGTTTAATAAAACCACAGATTTCGAATGTATTGAAAGTTATTTAAAAAGTACCTCTATAAATATATCTAAATAACACCGAAAAAATTAAAGGGGTGATTCTGTGATGAAAATTAATGTGAGTGTTTAGTATAACATTTTTTGAAAGAACCCTCCCCGGAAAAGTTACACCCCTTCGAAAATTAAAAAAATAATGGTTTTTCTTTTTTATTTTCCCTGTATATCAAGCTAAAGACACGAAACTTGGTAAAGATTATCTGTCAATAAAAGTACACTTTTTGAAATTTTTTCAACCCTGAAGTATGCTTAGAAGGGGTTAAAATAATCAACCCCTAAGATATTTTTTCTTACAACTTTTTTTTAGATGAAAATTTTTTCTTTAAAAAAGTATGACTGAAAAGCCCAATTCATTGACTAACTTTTTTAACTCTACAAGTTTTTTCTAAAACTTAAGCATTTATGAGAAAAAAAAATATAATGCAATGCATTTTCAAAAAGATGAGCTAACGCGAGTGTATTTTGCGTCAAGTCTAGTGGCCTATGCTTTGCATAAAAACATTAATACTGATACCAGAATAACCAGAATTGTGTAGTGTCATTTTCTGTTACCCATCTTATTGTTTCACAAGTTTTATGATTGTGTATTGTAGGAAATATTAGGTGATTGAAAATATGAATGCATATTCGAATTTGGAAATGGCAGATATGCATTTTACATACGGTCGTGCTAACGGTAATTGGAAGCGCAAAGACTTTATGCTGAACAGTACCCACAGCGTAGACTACCCCATCATACTACGTTCACAACTATTCACCGACGCTTGCGGGAACGTCGTAATTTTGAAAAAAGAAGTTATGATTCTGGTCGTACTAGAGAAGTTAGAACTGCAGCTGTAGAAGAAGCCGTACTTAATTCAATTGAAGAATTCCCAGAAACTAGTACCAGGAGAATAGCTCGTGTCCTACATGTAAACCATTCCGTTGTTTTTAGAATTTTAAAAGAACAAATGTTGTATCCCTATCATCTTCAACGGGTGCAGGCGTTAATGATTCGAGATTTTTTACCCCGTGTGATTTTTTGTCAATGGCTTATTAATATGATTGGCCAAGCACCACAGTTCTTAGATAATATTTTATTTACTGACGCGGCGAGTTTCTCAATCACCTTTGGGCTGACGAAAATCCTCATGGCTTTTTTGAAGGAAATCATCACTATCAATTTTCATTAAACGTGTGGCTCGGAATTATTGATAATCATTTAATTGGTCCCCATTTTCTTCCGCTACGATTAAATGGTGAAGAATTACCTGTTCTTCTTGAAGAGGTTTCCATTCAAATTAGGCAACATTTATGGTTTATGCACCAGCTCATTTTAGTATACGTGCAAGAACTCACCTGGATGAGGTGTATGCCAATCAATGGATAGGTCGAGGAGGACCTGTAAACTGGCCAGCCCGCTCCCCTTTGGATTTTTGCATATGGGGATATCTGAAATCTTTGATATACACAAACGCAGTTGAAAATATCGATGATCTGCGAAACCGCATTGTAGCAGGGTGTGAAACTATAAGAAATTCTCCAGGAATATTTCATCGTATACGCAATTCTATGAGGAAAAGGGTAGATGCTTGTATTGAAGCTGAAGGCGGTCATTTTCAACATTTATTATAATTGTATTGTCGATATTCGACAGGTATTTGTTAATTGTTTGTTCACTCTTGTTTTTAGTTGTAGAAGTCTTAAGAATCATAATTTGGTTGGCTGTTGTTTAATAAAATGCTATTTTACATGAGCTTATTTATTTTTTTCTCATAAATGCTTAAGTTTTAGAAAAAAACTTGTAGAGATAAAAAAGTTAGTCAATGAATTGGGCTTTTCAGTCATACTTTTTTAAAGAAAAAATGTTCATCTAAAAAAAAGTTTTAAGAAAAAATATCTTAGGGGTTGATTATTTCAACCCCTTCTAAACATACTTCAGGGTTGAAAAAATTTCAAAAAGTGTACTTTTATTGACAGATAATGTTTACCAAGTTTCGTGTCTTTAGCTTGATATACAGGGAAAATAAAAGAGAAAAACCATTTTTTTTTTTAATTTTCGAAGGGGTGTAACTTTTCCGGGGAGGTTTTTTTCAAAAAAATGTATACCAAACACTCACATTAATTTTCATCACAGAATCACCCCTTTAATTTTTTGGGGTAGGTAAATATATTTTGAAAAATTTACAATCTTCTTTTGAATAAAAGACAAAATATTTCTGTTTTTATTAACTGAACAATATTTTATACAAACATAATATATACCTATTTAAAAGAAAATATTACATTTTACAAGTATCGCATATTTATATGAAATAACTTACTCAATAAGAAAGAATTAAATGAAACAAATTAATAAACAATGGATATGAAAAATTGCTTTAACAATCCTTAGATAAACTTATTCTTACATGTTGCTTTAATCAATTTATTTACTATAAAAGTATATTTCCTAATATTTATTACATGTAATAAAATAAAGCATAAAACATACAAACTATAATATGTGTACCTACTTAGAACGGAACTAATATTATTGTATCAAGGTAGTAATAGTGGACAGACATTTTCCGAATAAAAAAAAGTAAAAAAGAAGTAACGGTCGACATGTTTTTCTGACTATTGGTCTTCATCAGTACGGTGCAGCCAAGTTCAAAGGATTATGGAACGTGTGTTGGAAAAATTGTACAATAGGTCACTAACAAGGAGCCGTTTCAGCTAGTATCCCCAAATTTTCTGGGCTTATACTAAAGTCACAAAATGATTCAATGGTCTTCCTATGGCTATCAGTTATTCTTTCCTAAATTTTTTTGGTATGCTACAACAAAACACAAATTATTTGATTTTGATAATATACAAATATTTTTGAAAACTTACACATGAAATGTTATTCCTTCCTTGTATCTTCTACCGTTGGATGCATTGTTACATTCACGTACAAAACAACAAAAGATTTTGAAAATCCTGTAAAAATTTAACACCAAACCACAAATGTTTTTTATTAAAATAAAACACTAAACGACTAAACTAAAAAATAATGTTTTAAATAAAACCTTTACTAGAAGAACAAAATAAACAACACAACAGATAATAAAATCGATTATATACGTCGAACGCCGATCTTACGCTTATTACTAAACTTGTGCCGATTCTGTCTTGTCAGAAGTGCCAACTTAAAATTTATTGACATTTATTTATCATGGCGCCCATCATATGGGGGGTCAAAATGTTTTTACAATGCGGTATCTAGACCTTCTGAGGGCTATGGGTCCGGCACATAGATAAATTAATATTAATTTATCTATGGTCCGGCACTTGATGATGATGGGTTGACTTGTTAACTTTTGATCTTATAATTCGCTATTGTTTTGTTCGTTTCATGTTCATTAAAGCAAAGTTTTTAAAGTATCGTTTTAATTAACTGAAGGAGATCCTGACATACAACAAACCATGCGAAATGCTGCACATACAACTAGGGCTTTCAGCTTATTACGCGACCGCTGCAAAATACGCCTTTTTATACTCTCTGTGGACCGGCTAAATATTATTATTTTAAAAAAAACTTTTAATGGGAGCTTTTAGACGCTATTATAAATTTTTTTTTCGGTACCTGAAGTTAAAAAACAAAAATTGGCCCTTTTGGCTCTTTAGGGGCCCGGCTAAAAATTGAGTAAAATAGCCCAACTTTTTTAGAGCACTTACAAACATAAATCACAGCTTTTTTGCACTACTGTATCATATATTTCTAAAAATCGATTTTTTTTTGCTGTTTTTGGCCCACCCTAGTCTACACCCTGGTATATCATTTCTGATTTTATCATCGAGATAGAATGAAGTAGACACAAAATAAACACTATTTTGCGATATGACAGATGGAAGCACATAGCAGTGCCAAGAGTGATGAAATTGAAAAAGTGTAATCAAAATGGAACTTTAGAGTCATACTGATTTATTTAAAGTCAATAATTTTATATTTAAAGATTGACAGAATAAAAATGTATTTATTTTACAATATCCTACAGAGGATTTCCCCATTTACAGAATAGGGTAAAGATTATACAATATAAGTAAAATAGTAGATACTTAATACTAATAATAAAGTAGAAAAAAAACTTTGATCAAAGAAAAAAAAAAAAAAAAAAAGATACACCTACCTACCTCAATTTTAATTCCATAAATATATACATTGACAAACAAATCAATATAAACAAAATGAAATATTTTGTTTTTAAAGTGTGTTTAGAATTGTTTAAAACAATTTTACTTTATTTAAAATTAGTCAAGCACTTTCGCCGATTAAGACATCATCAGGATTTCATAACAAAAACCATAAAAACTAGAAAAAAAACATCATACACATCAAATGACAGTTAAGGACTCTGGTCAACAAATGTGTTGGGCCACAACATCAAGGCCCACAATCAAATCAGGATTATTAAGAAACTTAAACGATAATAGTAATATGTGAAGAAGATTAAAACCTTCATTCAGCTTCCATAGGTTCTTCACCAATGTAGGTGGAGGACGCTATGTAAAAAGGAGTGAAAGCGCTTGACTAATTTTAAATGAAGTAAAATTGTTTTAAACAAATTCTCCTACACACACTTTAAATACAAAATTTTTCATTTTCTCCTATTATCCAGTGTGTACACACCTACGCCATCTTGGAGGATAAACAAAAAGATTAACAGATTTCATAAATAGAATATGAATCAATAACAGTTAGGTACTAGGAACAAACACTTGTTTTATAGATGAGATAGAACAATTAAAAATATCAATATTAGCGTCAACATTTGATTATAAATCATTTGATATAAAGGAATAGCCTTACATGTGTTGGTTATGTGCAAATGTTTATGATTATTTCGAGTATTAATGCTCGGAACTTGAATATTTAACATTTGAGAAATTGAAATGCAATCTACCTTTTTGCTTATTATTTTAAAAAGAAAAATTACATAATGCATCGATCTTCTACATGATTTGAAATATTCCTAATAATGTATTTGTGGAAGTCCTCTCACTGGGTAAATACCATCAATCGCAAAACACAATGAATTAAAGAATATTCGTTGTACACGTTCCAGTTGTGAAATGTGATTAAAGTATATTGGACTCCAAATTATACTAGCATATTGTAATTAAGGCTTGACTAGTGAAGAATAAAGCATATTAATCATAGAAAAATTACTAAAAGATCTCATATTTCGTACAATAAATCCTAAGATTCGATAAGCGGAAGCGGGCGTCTTTTCAATGTGTGTAGAAAAACTCAATTTACTATCAAAATAGACACAAAGATTTTTAATCAATTTGGGTCTATCTATTGTGGTATTTTGTAATAAATCATATACTGTCACCGAGTCTTTCCGACTAAACGACATTACATTTATTTGCATTTAGTGGTAATTTCTTTTTAATGCACCTCTCACATAAAGGAGTGATATTTTGCTGCAATTTTTGATAATCCATTACATTTTTAATTTCAGAATAAATGTTGAGATCGTCCATACATAAAAGGTATAGGATGTCAAGATCACCAGCACTACATAAATAAACAATACAAATAGTAATGGTCCCAAAACTGGGCCTTGAGGAACGCCGGAAGTCTGAATGTACTTCAAGGATTTATATCTGAAACACTGAACATAAAGGTAACGATTATACAAATACGACTTTAAAAGATTAATAAACAATAACTAATACCTAATGCAGATAACTTTGATAATAAAATCTTGTGGTAGATTTTATCAAATGCTTTAGAGAAGTCAGAGTAGATGACACCTACCTGACTTTTCCTATAAATTTCTTCACAGATAAACTGAGTCATACAGAACTAGTTAGTTACTGTTGAGCATACAGAACTAGTTAGTTACTGTTGAGCATCCAGAAATAAAGTCATGTTGAGATTGAGTTACAATTTCACGTAATTGAAACAAAAGATAATTATGTACAGCTATTTCAAACACTTTAGAGAAGTTATTCAAGATTGTAACAGGACGATAATTAAATATGTCGTTTTTATTGCCATTTTTAAAAACATGACAATCTGGTCAACTTCCAGATACATGGAAATTCCGACAATTTAAACAAGGTTAAAAATCATTGTTAAAGGCCTACAAAGTACTGGAGCACAATATCTTACTGGTTGTTTATTTAGTTAATCTTCTTTAAAGTAGCGAGTACTTCAGATTCCTTCACTTCACTGATGTTAATATTGTTAATGTTTAAATTGTTCATTAAGAAATTATTATCATTATTATTATCATCATTAGATTGAGTGTAAATTCCTGAAAAGAATGCAGCAACACCTATAACTATATCCTCGGGTCTATTTAAACAATGATTATTAAAATTCATGCTACTAGGAATTGTAGATAAATCACTTTTCTTAGATTGTATGAAGGACCACAATGTCATAGGATTATTTTTAATCTTTTCTTCGGACCATCTCACATATGCATCATAAGCTAATTTTGATTTTCGTTTAATGTTGGCTTTTAATTGGCTATAATTATTACAGTCACAGTTATTGCAATGTTTTATATTTTGTCCAAAGTTTATTTTTTCTTTTGAGATTCTTTATAATTTCAATAACTAAGCATTCGTAGACTATGAAAATTATTTGCTTTTTTAAAATTGTTATGGGAGAGATTTTTTTGATGTTGAAGGTGTTAATGGATAGAGTTGGGTGATGAGAGTCAGGTGATAAGAGATAAAATGTTTTTATATCATTTACATGAAGCTATTTTAAAAAATGTGCATTTATTCTTACCAAACCTGACTAGCTCGAGTTTGACAGGACGTAAAAGTGTAATTCAAAAGTGTGGACACTTTTAATTTTGTCATATCATCTCCTCTTCATTATATAACAATAATAATAATTGTCATTTATTGAACTGACCAATTGTCCAATAGGCTATCGACCAAAGTCCTTCTGCCTATTCATTATATCTCAATGGATTTTATAATTTTATACATACTATTTCAGAGCCAAACTCGAAGCCAAACTTGAAAAACTTTGCACTCATATTTAAACTTTTTTAAGTTGTCTTTTTTGTTAAAATTAACTGTTTTAGATTATTAGGTTCATTTTTAATTAAAGAAAACATATTAATTTTACATACAATATTTACACCTAATCTAAGACAATATTTGGACTATTTTGATGTCAAGCCAACTCTGTTTCTTACATCAATAATAACAATCAGTAAATATATTAACTTTTACCTTTTGAAACTATTCCTTCACATATGGCTTTGGCCATATTACCACCGCCAATAAATCCAATTTTTTGAGTTAACGGGTTAACAAAATTACCTCCTTCCATTATTTAAATTTATAAAAAAACTAAACACACATTACAAAATTATAACCTCGAAGATGTTCACCAAGCAAAACCTCTATTTATTTAATACATATATTCACTTGCACATTTGGTGATAATCAAGCACAATTATTGACTATAATAATTGTAAACAGGCGTTTGAGAAAAATAATCTCAATATATTTTTTGTTATTGTTTAGGTGGTCAAAAGTAAAAGTCAAACAAGATCAAGCAGTGTTGCCAGATGAAAATTTGCTAGAACAGTAGACTAGACAGTACGACAGTAGATGGGGAAAAAACAGTAGATCATCGAAACTAAACAGTAGATTTTAATATAGGGGGAAATAATTATAATTTTCAGAGTAATAAATAAAAAAAACAAGTAAATATATAAGAAACGAAAAATTATGTTAGAATAATTTTTAATTTAGTATAGGCTAAAATAGATTATCTAAGATGTTGTTTTCTCTTAATAATAACAACATTGTTTAAAGAGTAGAGATACTTAAGTCAGCGCGTGTATAAATTAAAAATTCTGTTTGACTCTCTCCCGTCTCCCGCCCCGCATCCTCACGTAAGTATGCGCACGATGTATCGATATTTAGAATACATCGATTTTTCGGTTTCGATTCTCGACTTTTATTCCCATGGGAAAATGAAATTTTCCCATAGGAATTCAGTTTTCGTATTCTCGACATAAGCGGTGGAATATTTTCCAAAGAGAAGTATGTGAAAATATTCCCGTGCTTACGAGCATTGGAAATTGTGTTTTCCAATGGGAATTGGACTAGAGTTTGCGCATTAAAGCCGAAAATTTGGCGATAGACTATAAGACATAACCAAAGATTATTGGATATCTTGGATTTTTGGTGAAATTGGAGTTAAAACATTTTTTTGGCGTATTTATAGATTGATATTATCTTATTTATGTAGGTATATTATTTTTACTTCTCTTTCACTAAGAAACTGTATGAACTGATTTTCTTAAATCAATTAGAAATTGTGGAAGCTGCTAAGGGACTGGCAAATAATACAAATTGAGAAATTTGTAGTAAATTTAATGAGGGCTGATTCCACCGTTGTGTTAAACGGATATTAAAATGACACTGTTAATGTAAAAATGTCATTTTAAACTTCGGTTAACACAACGGTGGAATCGGCCCTAAGACCTTTTCGAAAATTTTATTATTTCCGTTAACGAAAGAATTTCTTAGTTTCTCGAAACTTTCATTGCTCTTCCATACAAATGCTACTTTTTCTTTTTTCAACATGTGAAAAGAAAAACTAAGAATAACTGGACAAGTTTTAATTATACATAGTCGAATATTTTCACTTGTTTCTTGGTCATGCTAGCGATTGCTCCGCACGGCCATGCACCTACTCCAGCACGGAGGCTCGACAGGTAATCGATTACCCAAAAACCACAACAAATACAAATAAATGCCAACAGTAAATTTTAAAATATCTCTAATGGTATTGGTTGTTTCGAAATATTCATGGACTTAATATCAGACATCGTTAAACTACTATTTCCATGGGAATGTCTATTCCGACAAGTTCGAGAATTGCATAACCTATTACCATGGGAATATAAGTAGTGGAATCTTTTCCCATAAGAAAATTTTCCAATGAACTCGAGAATCGAGCCCCATGTTTTTATCCGATTATAGTGGTAATTCTATAACGAGTATGTTAAAATTTAATGGGCGTTAAAAATATAACGTATGTTAAATATGAAAAGCAATTCTGTAAATTCATGAAAAATTTTAACTTGTCCTAATTAACATAGTTCATTTTAGCTGCAAAAATCTATTCTATAAGCAGAAATATGTTAAAAATTTTTCCTACGACCACTTAGGAAAGTGACACATATCACACTATATAGTCCTATGGAAAGTGCCCTATATCACACGCGTATGAATAATAATTTACTTTCCACCCGAGTGAGAATATGTTACTTTCCGCAGTAGTTGTCACAAAATGTCAAACACCTAATTTCTATTTTGATCCATGTAATGTCCATATTAATACTAAAATCGATATGATTGTTAAATTATTGAAATTGTTGTAAATTAGATCCTAGATATTTATCTTTAACAATTATTATTAAAATAATTTTAAAATTATGTTTGCTCTTTATTCTGGTTAAATACATAACCGATTAGATCATTCAATTGACACATGGGCTATTAGCTCAGGTGGTTAGGACGTCGAACTTATCAACTTTGCCATTTTCCGACCTGGCGGGGCAGAATTTTTTTTTTTGATTTTTTTTGTTTTTTTTTTATTTTTTTTTAGTTTTTTTTTGTTTAGAAAATATGAAAATTGAATAAATACGATTATTGTTGATTATTTTTTAAATACATTTGAATTATTATAGTAATAATAACCTTGGTTTTACATTTTTTTGATGACATTATTTTATGGTCGTAGGAAAAATATTGTACATCACTTGTAAGAAAAGTGATTTTCCACCCTCTTAATGTAATATACTATAACATAACTGTGCTAATTTTATGCGTTAAATCGAGTATATTAACATATGTACTAATTAGTAGGTTTTTTTTTTTTTTTTTTTTGGCTTAGGCACTTGCCATTCAACCAGTCGCGGAATATATTATATAAGTTTGAATTGCATTATCACTCTAAATACATACATTCAATCATAAACACTTTTGTCCTTTTTGTCCTAAGCAAGAAAAGAAGAAAAATATATAACAGAAGATAAGGCAAGCAAGGAATAAACAAAGGAAACATTTCTTCTTGTCTAGGGGCCCGTCAAGACATTTTTTTTTTTTACACACAAAACTAGGCCACGGAAAGGTAGGTATATAACAATTGGGTTAGAACATAGGTTGCAAGACTAATATTAATTACAAACATACTTTACTTTCATACACAAATTTTATCAAGAGGTCGTAAATTTTTGTTTGATTAAGTGAGAGGAGATGGCAAATGTTAAATGGAGGAAATACATCTAATTAAAAAAAAAAAAAAATTAGTAGGTTTTAATACTTATAACATATCAGAAAGTATTACTTTTAATTGTTTAATTCAACTTATAATGCAAGACAATCATGAAAATGAACTATTTTGTAAGTACTCAAGTAATTTTAACATTTGAAACTACACAAATTCTATTTAGAAATTATATATTTTATTTATAGTGTACATACATTTTTGTAATTAATACCTAATTGATTTGCCGTAGAAAGGCATTATTATAAGGTTACTGGGGTTAGTTTTCTCTGTATTGAAAATTTATTGCCTACCAAATAGTTTATAAAGTACATTCGGTCGCTACTTTTTTCGACATTCTTGTGCAAAAACAGACATACAATAAATATGACAGAAGGAATGACATTTATTTGACAGACCTTAAAACTTAACCATACTTTTATTGCAAATTTGAACTACTTTTAACGTATTTTGTGGCTGACTGCCGTCTTGAAGCTCAATTGACTATTGAGCTCTTTTAGGTTTCTGGTTCTATTTAGTGGAATCAATTAAAATGAGTATTTTTAAGACTGACCAGAATAATAATTTATTTGACCTTAAGTCACATTGACATTTTTTCCTATATACAGTAGGATCAAAAAATATAAACAAATAATTACAATATAACAACAACATATTTTTTGTGAAAATTTAACGTATGCGTTAATTTTATTTTTACAGAATTAGAATTTATGTTAAAATCGTAAAATTTAACACCTGTTTAAAAATAAACGCTGCAAATTTTGCTTTCATTCTGATTTTCGCTTTTTTTACTGAATTTCGTGGTTTTTTAAAAAGTTGTACTGAAGTACTGAATCTAATCGTTTCATCGTTTCATATTGAATTCAGTACAATTGTACCGAATCGGCAACACTGGATTCAAGATTATGACCTAAGAAATGTTTGGTTGTCGCCATCTATATCTTATTAAATATATAAAGTTGTAAATTAACAGAAAACTAGAGTGGACCACAAAGGCAACTATATTTTTAAAGTTATAGTTTCGTTTGAAACATTATAGATGTCGCTCTAGTGAATTCGATTGCCAATTTTACAAAAGAGATTAATTCTGACTTTTTAGTGGACATCTAGGTTTTTTATAATGAAAGTCTTATAACAATATAATAGAAATCTTTGACGGTGAAGATATAATTTGATTTCCATTTATCTAGATGGCGATATATGTATTATTCCGTGTATATTTTCAATAAAACGTGATTAAAATCAGATAAATTGATAAGAATTCCAAATTATATGAAAGTCTAGATAGAATTTCTTTATTTATTATAAAAAAAGTTACATAACAAAATTAATTTACTGTCTTAGAAGAGATCCAGAAAATATGAAACAGTATGGTCAACAAATTTGCTAATTATATTTTTTGGAAATCGTATTATGACCAGGGCCGCCGAGAACCACGTCGGGCTCCGCGACTATTTTATAAAAATATTAAGCCTTTTCAATATCACATTTCAAAAAAAAAAGAAAACTTCCCCCTCTCGTCGGCCCTGATCATGACGTTGGTAAGAGGACTAAGACTAAGAGGGAGGAGCAGAGGAGGGGGGGGGGGGGCAAAATCCCCAGGGCCCGGGCCCAAGGGGGCCAGCAGCTTTAAAAAAAAATAGGTTATAATATGTGTGTTTTGCGTCGAGTCCCCACCATGGCTCTCAGCGGCTCTGCGTAGGTACCAGAGCTGGGCAATTCATTGTTAAAAAGTAATTAATAATTACAAGTACTTTTTTTTCATGTAATTTGTAATTGTATTTAAATACTTTTTTCTTAAAGTAATTTGGAATTGTAATTGCATCAAAATCTGCGGAGGAATTTTACTTTGTAATTATATCATTTAATTTGTCTAAATACAATTACTTCTCATAATTACAATTACTTTTCCAATTATAATTACTTTTTCCAATTACAATTACATTTTTGAATTACAATTACTTTTAAATGCCGTGTTTGAATGCATTTGACAAAATAAGAAACAAGAAGATGTAGATAGGTACCCTTATTTTTAAGACTTCATTTGTTTTTATATTATTATAAACACAATTTATGTTACATAAACACTATAAACTAAGGAAATATAGTATGAAGTGATGCATGCATCAGTTTTTATGGGGTTGATTAAACGACTCTAGACTAATGATGCCCGATTTGTATGGTATGATTATACGAGTATTATGAAAGTACCCAGGTCTAGGTAAACGATCTTTTGTATTTTTGTTATGAACAATAAACTTTTAAAAGCTCACATTTTATTATTTACTTCCCTGTTCCATTTTTTATACTACTTATCACTTGTTATGAATGATTTTGTCTTTTCTCTTAAGTTAGTTTATAGAAAATAATTAGTGCTTGTTGCAAAAATAAAGTTTACTTAAAGTTAAGCTCAGTTTTAGGTGATACATGTCAATTTTCGATGCTGCAGGTACAGTCCTTAGTGCTAGATTGTGTTTAGACTGTACCTATGCCATAAACAATTCGTCATGTCTCACCTCATACTGAGTTTAACTTTAATTAAGCTGTATACAACCCGCCTTTAAGATACCTTTAACTTTAAGTAATCCTTACGAAAGTCACTGCAAACGGCTGTTAGTTGAACACTTTGAATTACCTATTTATTATAGGCTTTTTCCGGTTATTTTGTACAACCTATTGCAGCACCTCTATAAATGTTTAGATGATAAACTAAATATATACATTTTCCACATACATCTACCTCGAAACATTTTTTTATATTTATTCATTGAAAACGAAAATACTGACAAATTTAAATTTAGCACTTTTTCTCCAATTTTTTCATTGCGATTCATTTTAGAAAAATCATGTATAAACAAAAATTATAGAGATCGATATCGCAAACAACTTTTAGTTCAACAATTTTCTTAAAAAGCAGAATTTTGCACATTTTGTCAAATTTCTCGAATACGGACCATCAGGAAAATTTGACATAAAACAAAAATTATAGATAATAATATTAGAAGCAACTTTTATAAAAACAATTTCCTTCTCCAAACATAAATAACAGATATAGTCCATAAAATATAAAAACGACCCTCCATAAAGTACCCCCCAGATGTTCCGACTTTGTCCAAAATCTAATCATTTCACGTCAGGCCGAAATAAAACTTAAGTTTAAAATTTAATGTTTTTTCTTTATCCGTTTTTGAGTTTTCTTCAAAATTCCAAATTTACGCATTTTCTCAAATATCTCGAATACGGTCTATTTTAGAGAAATTATGTATAGGATAAAAATTATAGAGAATTATATTACAAACAACTCTAATTTATAATTTTTATAAAAAAATATTTTTTTTACATTTTATCAAATTTCTCGAATACGGACAATTTTAGAAAAATTTTGTATGGAACAAAAAATATTAATAATTATATTTAAAGTATCTTTTATTTAAAGAATTTTCTTCTTCAAACGTAAATAACAGATATATTCCATAAAATATAAAAATTACCACCTTTAAAGTACCCCCCAGATGTTCCGACTCTGCCAAAAATCTAATCAGTTAATTGGACGCCGGAATAAAGCTTAAGTTTAAAATTTGGTGTTTTTATTTGATCGGTTCATGAGTTATGGTGGATACAGACACACACATATACACACACACATCTACACACACACACACACACACACACACACACACACAAACACACGCACGCACGCACGCACGCACGCACGCACGCACGCACGCACGCACGCACGCACGCACGCACGCACGCACGCACGCACGCACGCACGCACGCACGCACGCACGCACGCACGCACGCACGCACGCACGCACGCACGCACGCACGCACGCACGCACGCACGCACGCACGCACGCACGCACGCACGCACACACACACACGCACACACACACACACACACACACACACACACACACACACACACACACACACACACACACACAAAGAGAGACCATCGCCAAAATAGTCAAAAAATCATGATTCCTATACTTTCCTTATCTGTATACAAATGTTCGTACTGGTCCGGTTCGTTCATGGTTCCTCAATTCTTTCATAATTTTTATTTTATTTTAGTGCGTGCGTGCGTGCGTGTGTGTGTGTGTGTGTGTGTGTGTGTGTGTGTGTGTGTGTGTGTGTGTGTGTGTGTGTGTGTGTGTGTGTGTGTGTGTGTGTGTGTGTGTGTGTGTGTGTGTGTGTGTGTGTGTGTGTGTGTGTGTGTGTGTGTGTGTGTGTGTGTGTGTGTGTGTGTGTGTGTGTGCGGGTGTGTGTGTGTGTGTGTGCGTGTGTGTGTGTGTGTGTGTGTGTGTGTGTGTGTGTGTGTGTGTGTGTGTGTGTGTGTGTGTGTGTGTCGCATAACTCATGAATCGATAAAGAGAAAAAGAGAAAAACACCAAATTTTAACTTTAAGCTTCGTTCCAGCGTCCAATGAACTGATTAGATTTTGAGCAGAGTCGGAACATCTGGGGGGGGGGGGGGTACTTTATATGTGGTCATTTTTATATTTTATGGAATATATCTGTTATTTACGTTTGGGGAAGAAAATTCTTTAAATAAAAGTTACTTCTTATATTATTATCTATAATTTTTGTTCTATACAAAATTTTCCTAAAATGGTCCGTATTCGAGAAATTTGAGAAAATTGTAAATTTTGAAATTTGAAGTAAAACTCAAAAACGGATAAAAAAAACATTAAATTTTAAACTTAAGTTTTATTTCGGCCTGACGTGAAATTATTAGATTTTGGACAAGCCGGAACATCTGGGGGGTACTTTATATGAGGCCGTTTTTATATTTTATGGAATATATCTGTTATTTATGTTTGGAGAAAAAAATTGTTCAAATAAAAGTTACTTCCAATATTATTATATATAATTTCTGCTTTTTGTCAAAATTTCCTGAAATGGTCCGTATTCGAGAAATTTGACAAAATGTGCAAAATTCTGATTTTTATGAAAATTGTTGATCTCTATAATTTTTGTTTATACATGATTTTTCTAAAATGGACCGTAATGAAAAAATTGTGGGAATTTTAAATTTTTCAGTATTTTTGTTTTCAATGAATATCTATAGAAAAATGTTTCGAGGTAGATGTATGTGGACAATGTATATATTTAGTTTATCCTCTAAACATTTATAGAGATGCTGCAATAGGTTGTACAAAATAACCGGAAAAAGCCTATAATAACTAGATAGGAAAGTCATGTGTTGGACACATCAGATTTTTTCATGTAATTGTAATGAAATCACTATAATTCCTATATTTACAACATGTAATTAATTCCTTTTCTAAGAAAGTACTTTGTATTATTTTTAAAGTACATGTAATTGCCCAGCTCTGGTAGGTGTACCTACATCTTAATTAATTTTAGAACTGATTTCATTAATAATATTTTGTTAAATTTTAATACGTATCAAACGAATACATTAAAAAATGAAGTGCCTAGCACACTTTCAGATTTCAGATTTAAAACACAAGTGTTTACAAAAGATAAAAATAAAACTAGGTATATAAAGGCATTTATTAGATATCGATATTGAAATCTATTTAAGATGACCTCGATGGCAGCTTTTTATGTTTTGTTGGCAATTTGTAAGTACTTTTTATTAAATTCACATAATATTTAAAAAATTTCTTTGGAATTACCGATTATTTATTGTTGTTTTTTTTTTGTTAATAATATTCAGGGTGGGTTGCAAGTAATGCGGATACGTTTTAATATCAAATCTGGAAGTTTTAACATTTTTGGATAAATTTTAATCAAGTTTAAATATCTATATTTATGAGTAAATATCTCTGGATAAGTTTTAATATGTCAGGATACGTTTTAATAACCCTGGTTACGTTTTAACATCTATAGATAAGTTTTAAAGTGTCGGGATAGCTTAAAATATCTTTGGATATTGTTTAATATATCTGGAAACATTTTAATGTCCCTAGTATTATTTTGACTTTAAATATTTATTATAGTTGCCGCTATTAAAGCAGAACCTAGTCCCGAAATAATTCCATACCCTGGCGGAATCAATGGTACAGGCATCACAACCAGATACTGGGACTGCTGCAAGCCAGCCTGCTCCTGGACCGACAACATCCAGACCCCTTCAGGTATCCCGATAACATCCTGCGAAGTTGACGGAAAAACACCAGCTAAACCAACAGAATTTTCAGGCTGCGGCACAGGTGGTACAGCTTACAGCTGCACGAACCAGGCACCCTTCGTTGTAAACTCCACGTTGTCGTATGGATTTGCAGCTGCTTCATTTACAGGTAGAACTTTCAATATTTCAATGTTTCGCGCTATTGCTTTTTAATATTTTTACAATATACAGGGTGGGCCATCGGTAACGCCTCAGTATGTAGAGTCAGAACTAGTTTGGATTTTTTCTCCTATCTGTGTTCAGGAGGAAAGTATAGGAATCATGATTTTTTCGAGCTCCAATTTTCGACAGACTTTTACGTTTTGGGGTTTCCGAAATCCGTTTTTACTATTTTCGCGATGATGTCTCTGTGTGTGTCTGTAGCCACGATAACTCCAAAACGGATATACAGAAAAACACTAAAGTTCCCAATGAGTACATACTCGTTTTTTCAACGTAAATTTAACGTTGTATAATATAAAAAACGTTATTGGTTGAAAATTCAACGTTGAGATTTTGGTTGATAAGTTATACGTATATAAAATAGTATTTCCTAGGGTATTTTTGCTATTGCTGAAAATTTAATAAAATAATACGTTTTTTGTAACATTTGGTTTCAAACAACATTATTTTCCGCGACACTTGAACGTTTGGTCATTAACCAGTTTTAGACGTTTTTACGTACGTGTGCTCATTGGGTTAAAGCTTCCATTCTCCAATGAGTTACATAGTTTTTGAGCATAATTGCAGCATTTGTGGAGTACTTTGTAGGGAGTCTGTTTTTCTACTTTAAGGAATATATGTTATTAACGCTTGGAGAAAAAAATTGGTCGAATAAAAGTTGCTTATGATGTCATCTTCTATAATTGCAGTATACAGGTCATTGAAATTAATACGATTTTCATAAAACTGGCCATAGCGTATGAAAAATACCCTACTATACTATTTTGAAAGTGTTATAATCGGAAAAGCGAGGTAATTTAAATTTAAAATAAAATACAGGGTGTACCGTTTAAAAAACTTAATTCTGATATGTATCAGTTTCCTGTAGAACCCTGTATAATAGATACATCTCGCTGTGAAAACATTTAAAAAAAATCAAATAGTTTTGGCTCTATAGACCAAGGTGTTAACCGTTGCCCACCCTGTATAACCGCATAAATTTGGTTGCCGGAAAGGAAATTTTGTATGTTGTTTAATGTGTTGTATTAATTTTTTCACAGGAGGTTTGGACTTCAGTTTGTGCTGCTCCTGCATGCTCCTCAGCTTCCAAGGAGACCTCCAAGGCAAACAATTCCTCGTCCAAATCACCAACGCAGGAGACACTCTCCAAGATAACCAGTTTGACTTGGGAATTCCCGGAGGTGGTGTTGGAATCTTCCCGTTGGGTTGTATGACCCAATGGGGTGCTTCCGAAGAAGGTTGGGGTGATCCTTACGGTGGCGTTCACACCATCGAGGAATGCGACGAGCTTCCTGCAGATTTGCAGAGCGGATGTAGATGGAGGTTCGAATTTATGGAGGGCGTTTCAAATCCTGATGTTACATTCTATCAAGTCAAATGCCCCAAGGAGCTCGTTGATATCTCTGGTTGTGAGTTGTAAATAAAGTAGTTTTAATAAATCAGTGAGTTTTATTATAGGTAAATAGTAATAATAATATTATATTCTAAAAACATTCTAATAAATGTCTTGTTCACTGAGAGGGATCCTCTAGGACTTGAATTGAATCATCTACGTTTTTGTATTTATTTTATTAACATTACCTTAAATGTAAGTATCTCTGTGTACTAACTTCAGATTCCAAGTGAAAAAAATTATTACACATGTGTTGAATATTGTAGGATTAATTTAAAAATAGTGTATTGTTTAACGAGTAAGGAATGGTACTGAGCATTCCTTGCCAGTTAAACACTTTGGGCATAACACGTTGCTACCAATTTTTATAATTTATAAAATTAAAATGACACTGCTCTAAAAAAATTACGTCTTTCGGAGCGTACAGTTCTTCTTCTTTCTAAGTGTCAGAGCCGCTCGTAGTTATCACGAACATGACTCGTATATCTATTTTTGTCGGTCATAGCCTAATTTATACATATTTTTTTGGATCACTCTTTAGTATGAATAAGCTGATTATTATTGTTTATTTCAACATATAAAATGCCAAAAAACTAAATAATACAGTATTTTGAACGAGAGCCACTATTTGTATCTGTAACATAAGGAAAGTGGGTTACTCTAAAACCCTTAGGCCTCACTAGGTCCATTGTGCATCCTCCTGAATTTGTGAAGCCACACTCAACTCTTTACTCAGCCTACAGACTTAATTTAGTTAACATGTGCCACTATATTAATTTCTGTAAGAGAAGTTAAAGATTATAAAAATGTCTAGAAATGTGAAATTGGTTTCTTGTCTGTTTAAACGTGTTGCAGCAACTCTAAACCTAAATATTTCAGAAGCAGTCAAGAATAATGATTTATTAAAATCGTCACCTAAAAAAGCGTTCGTACAGTTTTAAAAAAAATCTATGAAATGTACATGAAAAGAAATATTAAAATGGTATAAAATATGAAAGAGAGAAAGAGTTTTTGATTGATTGGAAATTATTCCTATTATAATTAACCCTAACAGCTATGACAGGAGTGATTTGGACTTGGATTGGGAAGGAATCACAAAGATTACGTTATAAGTTGCAATAATGTTAATTAAGATTAACTAGGATTCGATGCAAAGTTTAATGCAAATTAGTAAATAAAATTATACAAAATTATAATTAAACCCTTCCATTTCTCATGCTTTAAATTTAATGCAATAATTTACAAAGTATATTACAATTGGTACTATTTACTGAGATCTCACCTGAGTCCCGCTCAAACGCGGACCACGTTCATTTGCTATTAAGATATATTTTATTTAGCTTGATTTCCAATGGAATTAACGAACAGCGCCAATTCGACAGTTGGTTAACTTACTGTATTGATATTTTTATTTTATTTAGCTTGTTATATCCTAGGAATATAGATATTGGGTTTGTCTAAACTAGACATTATGTACTACTTTCATCTAGCGTTACAACGGCGTCGATTTGGGTACGTCGCAGCATTGAGCGTCACCTTTCCTCGAGGCACCTAGCGTCGAAACGTCTAGCGTCGTGGCGGAGAAGGTATTTATTACGGTACTGCATCGAGACAGATATACGGTAGGAAATACTGAGGTGGTGCTGCGCGAAGAAGGTTGTCGCCAAGGATATTATGAAGGAAATATTTAGAGACAGCAAGCGTCCAAAAGTAAAGCGATGGGACGTTGATCGTCGGGACGTGACAGCGTTCGGGAGATAGGTTGCCGAGACGGATATAAGGTAGGAAATACTTAGATAGTCCGGGACGTGACAGCGATGGGGAAGGTAGGGACGTTGAGCGTCGAGATGTTGACACCGTTCGAGGGATAGGAGGTATTGTAGAATGGACGTCAGTTAGGAAGAGCCTCGATTTAGGAAAGATACTGAATACTGAACTTAAAATATAACTGGATACAAAATAATAAATGAAAGCTTGAATATAAAATATTAATGAATGAATCATCGGGTTCGGGTATTTATACCCATTTTAATGACTTTTTATAACGTCAATTTGTAGTACCTCCGGTGGGAACGAATTTGAGTGGATAAAAGAGGGGTGATAGATTTATTATGTGCCTTGATAAATTCTCGGAATTGTGTATCGAAATCTTATCGAAATTGGTATTAATATTCGAAACTAGAAAGAAAAGCGCGTTCGTTAATGATTATTACTTCGTAAGAATAAAAATGTTTATGGAGGTTTTTGGATCTAATTCTCATGGGATAACGTTTGATCTTTTCTGTAATATTAAAGACTCCGCGAACAGAAATATTGCTTTTATTTATTATTAGGCATCATAGATAGGATTTAATTATCTAAAAGCCTTTCGTAAAATGTAGGAATTTGAATTTAATAAGAATGCAACTTTTCTTTAATAAAATGGAATTAATAAATTGTGAAGGTACCTGGCTGAGGTAGGTTACAGTATTAAGCATAAAATAGCATAAACTTTTTAAGAGAATAAGAGCGTGACTCCAGTTTTATAATTTAACTCGAATATTTTTTTATGGTTTCTTATGGTTTTTAGTACTAAAATTGTAGTCATGTCTTCAAAGTCACGAGTCACGGAAAGCTTCAAACTGTGACAAAACTATATCATTGACAAAATCACTGTGATGTGAAATATCGCGCATCCCTACTTTACTCAGTTTAGCAATGATTTATAGAGAGAATACCTCTAATCCGTTGGGGATATAGAAAGTAACATACGAAGAGAACATCTATTAATTCAACAATTTCAAAAATTGCGAATATCGGCATTCGGTTATTTAAAAAAGCTGAAATCCACGGTTATATATACATGTATACGTATATACACAAGCTGTTTATTCATTCAACGTTTATTTTTTCCCAGAACCGACTAACCACTATATCGCACAATGCGCCTCATCAGGAGGTACTTTGAATTTTTTCAGGTCCCTTTTTTCCATCAGCATTCAACCGAACGCTCGGTAAGTATTTAAAAGTTTTTCTTTTCTGCACACACGGCGAAATATTTTTCCTCGCAACGCAAGATAAAACATTTAAAATAAAAATAACAATAAAAGGAACAATTGCATCTGTAATTAAACCTGTTTTTCTTTTATCAAATAGTTTTACATGAACGGGTTTTTTACCCATCGGAATCGATCGATCGGGTTGACAGTGGCGTATTCTCGGAAAAAATCTTTCGGATGGACGTACCTACCTATACCTACCTGTATACCTGTACCTACCATCTCGCTACTGCTGCTGCTATTGCAACTTGGTACGTGATGGATGGACTTTTTTTTACTGAAATTCGTATAATAACTATAACTACATGTAAATTATTTTTTTATTTGCATATAAAATTATTATATTCTTAAAACAGAGAATACTAGAGGGAAAAATGGGAAAATGAAGAGCTGAAATACAGGGTGTCCTGAAATTAGACGGTCATATTTTACCAACGTAATCTACATCTTAAAATAAGAGTAAAAGTTCATATAAACATAGGCCCGAAAACGTTTCGTTTTCGAAATACAGAGTGTTAAAAGTGAAGTCCTGATGCCACATTTTTGTAAATATTTTCTAAAATTTCTTTAGTCACCGGTTTTCCAAAGTTAAAAAAAATAAAATTTCTGATTCCAGAGGTCCAGTAATTATTGTTTACACTTTCGAATAAGATAACATCATTATCATAAAATTTTCAAATGCTTTTCTCTTGAAAATGGTGCGTCGTAGCGAGAAGCAACAAAAGTAGCTTTATTATAAAGAAAATAATGGTTTTCCAAATTTTATAGTCAAAAATGTTAGAAATTGTCAACAAAAAAAACTTAGGATAATTTTACCCTAAGCCCCTCTAATTTAACCACCTATGAAAATGATCAAAAACTGGGGTTTAGTCCATTAAATAAAGCGTAAAATGGTTAGTGTTTGTACCAAATTTCACTTAATTATTTTTAAACGTTTAGAAAATATTTACAAAAATGTGTCAGGACTTCACATTTAACACCCTGTATCTCGGAAAAGAAACGTTTTCGGACCTATGTTTATATAAACTTTTGCTCCTATTTTAGGATATGGATTACGCTGTTAAAATATGAATGTCTAATTTAAACTTTAAACAACAAAAAAGAAACTCAATTTAAAGACGAAGTTTCTGAAAGGGAACAATGTATTGAAATGCAAATAAACAAAAAAAAGAAGACCTAAATGCATCTAATAAATTGAATGAAGAACTAAAATCAAGACTTAAAGAAAGTCTGCTACAATTTGAGGACTTAAGAAGTAAACTTTTAGTACTTGAGACATGTTAAGTATGATCAAAACAACTATATAGACAATGATGCTTATGCATTAGAAGTAGTTGAATTAAAAAATAAGTTATGTATTTTATCTAACAAATCACAAACAAGTATAGAGCAAACTGAAAATGAAGTTAAAAAACATAATGAAAAAACAAAGAATAGAAATGTCAAACATAAAAATAAGCAAAATGGTGAAGAGATAAATAAAATAGAGCAGTTGAAGGCAACAACAGACAAGAATGGTAAAGACGTTATTAAGGTGGGGAAGGAATCAAGGAACAGGTGAAAAAAGAAGAAAAGTGTCAAAACATAAAAAACAAATTATTAATTTTATGTGACCAAAAGGGCAGAGATTTAGGAAGTAGGCTAAATCTTGATATGTTTGATACTGAAGTTCAAAGTATTATCAAGTACCTTGTATAATAGCGTTATTGATAATATTTTGAATTTGACTAAAAAATTTACTCTAAATGATCATATTGTAATCATAGCAGGTTATAATGATTTTGTTAAAGGTAAATATCCACTACTTAAAAATATCAATGAAAAAATTAAAAAGTGTACCCATACAAATATTATACTTACCTCAGTATCTTATATTATTAATCAAAATAAAATTAATAAATTTATATACAAATTAAACAAAAAATTATGAGAACACTATTAAAATTAACAGTGCAAAATGACATATTTGCTATTAATTTTTATTGTGATTTTTTAATGATCTCT